TATATATATATTTATTTAAAAATGCAGAAGAGGCAGGGGCTGAGACCTCACTGCTGAGCATCGTTCGGGGGTTGCACTACTGCTTTGTGTAAGTCATTAAATAACGCACATCCCATACGGATGCTGTCACCTTTCCTCCTGTGGAGCCACTTTTTGGCTCTGGGCTCACCTCCTTCCTTTAGAAATTTTGGCTGAATAAGCCCCATGCAGAAGAGCCCCTGGGTGCTGTTGCTTGAAGGGAAACCGCAAAGCAAATTTTAGCTTCTTTTTTCTCTATCCTGTTGCAGTGGTGCTTTGTGTTTTGCCGTTCTTAGTTTTAATTAGGCAAATGCAGCTTTGCTTTCCACTTACAGGAAAACTATGGGGTGCTGCACACTTTGGAGAGGGCCCTTACAATCTGCGTGGTGCTCTGAGCATGGTGCCGTGCTGGGGATGAAACTTTTCCAGCAGAACTCAGCAGCTGAATTCTAATTAAAGAAAAGAGTGGAAAATGCAGCTCTGAGAGGGCAACTTTACAATCTAATTGCAACTCTTACCAATTTCAGTAAATGCTTGTTGGGGAGGTGTTTTTTGCATCCGGACACAGTTCTGGATGAGCCATTGACCAAACCAAGAGCAACCAGTGAACTTAATGTGCAGCAGAGACTGGAAAATCACACGGTTCAGCTCTTGCTCTACGTATTTCAGGCCAAGTTCTCCCAATGTTGGGTCAGTCGAGGGAAATAGTTTCCTATATTTGACTTCTTGTAACTCTTATTTTTTTTTAATGTTTCAGAAGGGAAAAGGAAGGGGATTTGAGCATCTTCCACCTACCCTCACAGAATCACAGAATCACAGAACGTTAGGGATTGGAAGGGACCTCCAAAGCTCATCCAGTCCAATCCCCCTGCCGGAGCAGGAACACCCAGATGAGGTTACACAGGAAGGCGTCCAGGCAGGTTTTGAATGTCTGCAGAGAAGGAGACTCCACAACCTCTCTGGGCAGCCTGTTCCAGTGCTCTGTCACCCTCCCTGAGAAGAAGTTTCTTCTCAAATTGAAGTGGAACCTCCTGTGTTCCAGCTTGTGTCCGTTACCCCTTGTCCTCGGTTTGTCACCGAGAAGAGCCTGGCTCCATCCTCGTGACACTCACCCTTTAAATATTTATAAACATGAATGAGGTCTCCCCTCAGTCTCCTCTTCTGCAAACTAAAGAGACCCAGCTCCCTCAGCCTTTCCTCATAAGGGAGATGCTCCACTCCCTTAATCATCTTTGTAGCCCTACGCTGGACTCTCTCCAGCAGGAGAGATACCTCGAGGTATAGGAGCTGTGCTAGAGTTCATGATCTTTGATGAATACATTCCTTCTCACTAAATTAAAATATTTGGAGTAATCAGCCGATTTTCTGTATAGTATGTGTAAATTATCAGTTGGCTGTTGATTGTAGATGCCGTAGTTACAGAGCTGAGTTTTCTTCTGTTGATCACTTCATGTCTACAAATAAAGTGTGCTCAGGCTGTCATTGGTGAAAGAGCAGTTATCAAGGGTAAAAGAAAATAATATTAATGGAGCCATTACATTTCAAGATGTACTTAAGCAGTCGGTGCTACAGAACTGAAGTAAATGCTTCAGGGAGGCATGGTAGATGTAGGCATCTCCTTCATTTCGTACTGGTTTATGCTGGTGCTCTGCCTCTGGAGTGCCAAAGAATCCCAAAATCTTTGCACTGATGCTTATGTGACTTTAATTGCATTAATTAAATGTGTGTTCTCATGCTTTTTTAATCCTGAAGGAACCCAATAGCACGAGACCAAAGTAGTTCTCCTCTATCTGCAGCCATGAGGAGCAGAGTCACTGCCAGCACACCTGGGTTTTCAGTGCTCCATCCCAATAAGGAGTTACTGGAGACCTCCAAAATCACCGTATCAGCACCCAGTCCCTCCAAGCACACACACAACCATAAATAACTGTGCTGTTATTTATGCTGTAAATATAGCTGCTTAAGGAAAGTTTGCGTCCCTCACACACAGTGTATCATTGCTGGTATTTGATAAGTTGTTCGGTAATTCCTCGATGGTTGTTCAAATGAGTGGTTGGCGTACGAAGGGAAAAGCTGCTGTAAAATCTGAGTTTTGGTCAGACTTCCTGATGGGGAAGTAGGAGGTTTCATGCTGCAGGGTGTGAGGTCACTGCCTGATTTGGAGAGGCTGCTCGGTTCGTTCCTCACATCTTAGTAACGCAGGTGCTGCTCAGCGATGGCACCCTCACATCAGTGGTTTCCTCCAAGCTCTTCCCTGCCTGTGATTCCCTCCTGCAGGGTTGGCTTGTTTTTCCCTTCTCATTTATCCCTCGGTCGATCTCTATTGAATCCCAGTGCATATTTATGGACTCAGAGGAAATAAAAGGAGTAAACCAAGATACATTTTGCAAGGGGATGCAGACTCCCTTATTTTTTTTCTACAATTATATGCATTACTTTCAGATCTACTGTGGGTTTTTTTGCCTGGACACTTTATCTGCCTCCTTGTGCACATAGGGCAAGAGGGGGCCTACCCTACCGCTGTGCTCAGGGGCATTTTTGGACTTCATATGAGTAGGGGGCAGGCAGCAAAGGGAGACGAAGCCTCAGACTTACAAATGCAAGAAAATTTGTACTGAACACGGCCGTGCTTCACTTGGCTCGGCTGGAGCTTGGTCACACATACGGTATTTACATCAGATCCAAATGCTCAGGCCAGGGAGGCCGACCTGCTTATTTCCAGGGTTTAAGAGGGGTGTCACTCGCTCAAGCGTCCAGGGTGACTTCAGCTGCAAGTCGCAGTGGCCAAGTTACGAAACCGTAAGAAAGTGGCTGTATAATGGAAATGGTGACAGGAGGTTTGGGCCTTTTTTTTTTAAATTATTGTTTTTTATTATTTTTATAAAGCAGTCCTCCATTTTGCAGCCCAGCTGCTTGAAATTCACTGAACTAGTACCTCGCGTGGCTAAGACACAAACTGTGGCCAAAACCAGACTTGGGCATCCGGCTCACACAAATACCAAGTCCTCACCGATCTCACAGGATTTCGAGTTTGCTCCCCAAGTGGAGGGGAACAGGGCTTGGCTGGAGGCTGGTGGCTTTCATAACTTCGTTAGTCCCTGGGATGCTTGTAAGGAGTGAAGTTTGGCCAACCAAACCCTCTGACTTGTGCAAACAGCACGGGGACGAGCTGCAGAACTTGGTGACGGTGTTTGGCCACTGTCTCTTCATGCTGAGCAAATTTGAGTGGAAGGAAGATGGAGCAGATGTAGTCAGGAAAGACGCCTCAGGGGGTAAATGTTTTATCGTAATGCAGAGTCCTGCTTGTGTATAATAGAAATATGCCAGCAAGAGGCTCCTGTCGGTGTTGCCCACACCGTATCTCCATACTAAGCAAATGACACAGCGTGGACAATGCAAACGTGCTGAAAAATGCCTTTTGGCAGACCCATGATGTGAAATATGTGTTTTGTTCACAGCTTCGACGTGGAGAATGGCTCGTCCCCAAGTCGCAGCCCGCTGGACCCGCAGGCCAGCTCCTCCTCGGGACTGGTGCTGCACACCACCTTCCCGGGCCACAGCCAGCGCAGGGAGTCCTTCCTCTACCGCTCCGACAGCGACTACGACCTGTCACCAAAGACCATGTCCAGGAACTCTTCTCTCCCAAGCGAACAGTAAGGATAAACTCAGCTCACCTCGTGTTTTGCAGTAAATAAGAGCTTCATGCTTCCTGTCATCCTCAGAGCTCTGCTGAGAGGTGCTTATGGGTGGCACTCACATTTCATAGCCTGAGTGCCCAAGACAGGTGCTTTTATGGTCTGACAAGGCACGACTTCCCCCTCCCCATCCCATCTTTGGAATATTCCCCTTTTCTCCCTAATTTAGCAGAACAGCTTTCAAACCATGAAGTAACAGGAAATTTTGGCATTTAACCTTGCTTGGTACTAGTTCTTCACATGAGAGCTTGTGTTTGGGCTGTGAATTGCTTGCAGCTACCTTCAGGGTGAAGCCCCAGGGCAGACACGGCTGCGAGCTGCCTGTATCCCCATGAGAGCTCTGTCACCCCTTGCTTGGCTTGCTCCATGATTTTCTGCTTGCTTTTTCCTCCATTACACTCACATCGTGCAGTCTCAGAGCCTGCTTAACATCAGCTCTGCTTTTCCTTAAGCAGGTAATGCACCATTAGCCTTGACAATAGAAATATGACTGTACTTATATTTGCAGTATTAGGCTTCTCCATCCTCTTTTCTGTCATGGGTTGTTTGCTAGAACTGAGCGGAAAATACAGCAGAAAGCCGAGACGGATGGTTGAGTTTGAGAGGATCAATACAGCACTGAGTGTGGAGCTTAAATGAGTGTCCTGGATTTGCAGCCCTTTATTTTAAAAGGCACAGTTTAAAGTTTTAAAGTGAGCATTAAGCTGTAAAAAAGTGCTCATTAAAAAAAAAGTTGAACTATTATGAAAGCCTGCCAAGTTTTATCATGAAATAGAAATGTAAATACTAGCGAGATCCATGAGGAGAGCTCTCCTGAAAGAGGGCATCTCTCCCTGCTGGTAGATATTTATCAGAGACAAAGTAACCACTCCAGATTATGCAAATACCATGTTTGGTGTAAAGGGTGGATTTTAACGATTGCCTCCAGTGCTGGACGGCATCAAGGCTTCTCCACACTGAGCAGGTCAAGCCGTGCTTGCTCTCCTGCCCTTTCTGGCTCTCTCCAGCCATGATCAGGTCTGCGCTGCTCAGCAATAGTGCTCCCCTGCTGTGTATCAGCTAGGTAAATCACATATGCACAAGTGTTATATATAATGTCACCAAAAAAACCCTCCTGTTGATGGTGAGGTATTTTTCTCAGAACTTCTGCTCAAATCTTCCATGATGAAAACAGCTGGGGTCTGAAAAACATTAAAGACTGTGGCAGAGATCAACAAAAGCCAGGAAATTCAAAGCTGACCTTTCCCTGGACCATTAACGTGGGTTTGTTTTTTGTTTTTTTTTCCAGTGTGCTGTCTTAAATTTTGAATTTCCTGGCTTTTATTGCCTGGTGTTACCAACCTGAACAGTCTCTCCAGCTGGGTTGTTTTGGATATACATAGCAGGACCTTTCCATTAGGAGCATGATTTTATGTACTGTTAAATAAAAGCTACATGGGTTAATGTTTTTTTGTCATGAGGGGAAACATTCCTCTGTAAAATTCCTTTTTCTCTGGGGTGAATGACGCCCGGTTTGAGGTAAATTTACAAATTTTCTCCATTTCTCCCTAGGCACGGAGACGACCTGATTGTCACACCTTTTGCCCAGGTAACTTGTTAAAAGCATTTAAAAATTTAAAACTTAAAAAACCTTAGGTGGAGAGGATAACGTCTTGGGGTTTTTTTGCCTCCCTCATAGGTGCTGGCCAGTCTACGAAGCGTGAGGAACAACTTCACACTCCTCACCAATTTGCACGGCACCTCCAACAAGTAAGCCTGGCTTTTTGCATTCCTTTGCGGCTCGTGCGTAGCCTGGGGACGGCGGGGACCGAGCAGGGGCAGCGGAGGCCGGGTATTCCGCCTCCGCCTTTTGCGCGGGACGCCAGGGGGCGCCAGAGCGCAGCGATCGTCTCCCCCTGAGGGCACCTCAACGGGCGCCACCGTCAACCGAACCCCACCATGGCCACTGAACCATGGCCCCGAAAATCCACATGGTGTTTGAACCCCTCCAGGGATGGGGACTCCACCACTGTCCTGGGCAGCCCCTTCCAGTGCTTGACCACTTGTTCAGTGAGGAAATTTTCCCCAGATCCAACCTAACCCTGCCCTGGCACAACTTGAGGCCATTTCCTTTCATTGCATTGCTTGTTCCTGGGGAGAAGAGACTGACCCCACCTCGCTACACCCTCTTTTCAGGAACTGTAGAGGGAATAAGGTCTCCCCTCAGCCTCCTCTTCTCCAAACTAAACACCCCCAGTTCCTTCAGCCTCTCCCCATAATTCTTGTTCTCCAGATCCCTCCCCAGCTCCATGGCCCTTCTCTGGACATGCTCCAGCCCCTCAATGTCCATCTTGTAGTGAGGGACCCAAAATGAAACCCAGTATTCGAGGTGTGACCTCACCACTGGCACATGATGTGGTGTCTTCCTCACTTTCCCACCTTGGCTGTCCCACACGGTTGTTATCTCCATCCCAGGAGTTCCCAGCCCAGCGCAGAGGCGTTGTCAGTGTTCGGTCAAGCTGTGGTGCTGCCCTGCATTTCCACCATTGTTTCACAAGAGAGGTGGTCAAGGCCAAAGGGAAAGTGCCAGAGAGGGAAACCCCAAGCAGGAGGCTGTGGGACAGTGAGGGTTATCCTGGCAGGGCAGACAGTTTGGCCCTGAGGGCCTGCCAGGAGGGCTGGCCTGTGCTTTGTTCCTACATCACTTTGTTTGACATTAATTACACTGAGTGAGGAAAGGTGATGCACTGAACTGAAGAGAAGGATGTTGGTTTTTATACCCGCTGAACAGCAGAAACCAAACAAACTCTTTTTTTACGCCTTTGTCCGGAACCCCTGTTTCCCCTTAACTATTTATAATGAGCCGGTCAGCATCATTTTCTGGCCTGTTTTGCCCCAGGAGAGCTGTTTTGCATGAAACCAGCATCATTCGTTCCTGGCGATGTTGGATGTGCACCCACCCGTCCCACCCTGGGGCTGGCAGGCGCTGCTTGCTCCAAGCATCCCGCTGGCTCTGAAATCGCAGGTTGAGGTGCAGAAATACATTCTGGTGGGACACCGTGGGCTTGCTTCACTGCTTGGCATCCCCTGGGTGCCCACCGTGGCCTCTGCATTCTGCCTTCCGATACAGTCTTCTATTTTACATAAAGCCCAACATTTTATCTGGGCATGAGGTTTTCCTCCCGTTGATTTCTGTTTGCTAACTTTAATGGGAAAGAACTGCCGCATTCCAAGATGGAGTTTAATAGAAAAACAGATGGCTCAAATAGATATTTTTTTAAAGCTTTGCTTTTTTTGAGCAGCTCGAGCATTTCAGCAGTTCCTAATGAGGAATCTGAAATTGGACAGGGCTGGAAGGAAGCGAGGGCGTAACCTGTAGGACACAGAGGCATCTTACAGTGTCCTTTTGAAAACATTCCCAGATTTGATTGAGGTATAAAGCCAAAGTAAAAGTCGTTCAGTGTTTAAACCATTAGACACCAAACATCCAAGTCCGTGGTAGAATGTGCTTCCAGGCGCTGCAGAGTTTCCCGCACCGTTTCCAAACAGCTCTGCTGGGTCACAGCCATGCTGCCAGCTCATGGTTTTATCATGTGTCTCATGATATGTGGTATTTTCCTTCAACTTCTGGTCGGGGGATCATGAGAATCTCAGCTTTTCTCTAGACCTTCCTCTCCCCTCTTTTTCCTTTTCCTCCATCTCTCTTGCCCCAAAAAGAGGATGCTGTCTCACATGTTTACAGAAATGCTGGAAAATATGAATGTTAAGGGCCAGAGGAAAAAAAACACAACCAGAAGTCATATTTTTTGGACTTTAACGTCAGGGTTTTTGAGACAGCTTCCTGATTGGAAAAGAGGAGAGTATGATTAATGGTTTTGGAGTGCCTGCGTTTGGCAGACACAGCCCAGGACATGGTCAGAAAGCATCCGGTGCCTACTCCACTTAATACCCGGCACCAAGAGAGAAGGATCGGGAAGCGGGAGCCGTGGTGGTGCCTAAGAAGGGACGGTGCTGCCGAAACCCAGGGTCGCTCGCTGTCGCAGAAACCGGGATGGGCACGGCCGGAACGTAATTCGAGGGTGCCGGGAGCCGTGCCGTTCCCTTTTCAGACTGTGCAGTGGGGAATACCCTCCCGAGTTCCCTCCCAAAGGCATGTCTGTGCAACTCGGCGCAGGGTTTGGAGATACCCGCAGCACCTCTCCCCAGATACTGCAGCCGTGGTGTCCCCACTGGGGAGTTTCTGTTTTTGAGAGATTTCAAGATTTGGCTTTTCAAAGGCTCGGTGGAGGCAGGTCCAGGCAGATATTCCCAGAAGGCGGCATCCAACGTGTGCGCCCTGTGCTGAACCCTTCAAAGAATCTGAGGCCTTGCAGCTCCACTCCGGAAAAGCTGAGCCTGTGAAATCCCACCCAGCCAGGGGGTGCTGGGTGCAGGGGAGCAGGTTTGGGAGCCCCATGGGGTGCAGGGTGCGAAGCAGAGCTGTAGCTGTGTTACACAGAAGTAAATCATATACCCAGGCCTTCTCTGAAGAACCCCCCAGCAGCATCGAGCTGCTCGCTTGCTTTGATTTCAGCTTCAAAGGAGAGCTGGCACATGATGGATGTTTCAGTTCGGTGGCTGGCTCCAAAGATGGGGGTTAGGAGGTTGGCTCTTAGAGTGTGGGGAAATCTGGCTTCGGTTAAAATGTATCAGAAACTTCTTAGAGGAAGCAAAAGTCCAATGTTTCGGTTTTGGTCAGCCTGAAATACCATATTCTATCCAAAATGAAGGATCTTTATTTTAGTGTCAGTACTTTTTAACTCTTTTAAAAAAGAAGCCTCTTTTTTCCCCCAAGTAAATTATGATATCAGCTTGAAAAATCACCAGTTTTATTTGGCAAATCTCACAATTGGAGACGTGCTGCACCCTTTTTCCAGTCAGACTCTGCTTCACTTGAGCCAACTTCTCAAACAGCTTTTGTTCAGGTCCTTCAGCTGTTTCAGAGCTTACCTTAGTGACTGCAGGGTCTTCTGACTTGCTTCCAGGTGCAATTCAAACTGCTAATGGAGTTTAAAGCCACACATTTCCCATCTCATTTAGGGTATTGCCTGTGTGCTGTTGACTTCAGGGTTCAACTCAGACCTTGTAGGTAAAAGCTTTTTGGGAGAAAGCCTTGGTTTTGGGGGACCCATGAACCCCTTCAGCCACAAAAACCAGCCCTTGCTGGCTTCCAGGTGTATTTTGAGTGGAAAGCTGCAAATGCCATGTGGGACAATGGCATTATCTTTCTTGGTATACCTTATTTTCAGAATATGTCTGTGCTTAGCCAGGGGACATAACATCTTTAGGATTTCCTAGCCTATATATTGATATTGCTTGTTAACTGCCAAATAATTTTAAAGTGTTTTGGGCTTCTTTGTGAGTGTGAAGGTTTTTTTGCACTGTGGGAGGTGGCCAGCAGGGTGTGAAATGCTAAAATAATCCCTATTTATAGAGTATTCTTTATCCCTCTTAGGAGATCTCCCGCCACGAGCCAGCCGCCTGTCTCCAGGGTTAACCTGCAAGGTACGTGTGTCACTTTGATAATCACCCACAAGGGCAGATGCAGAAGAAGGCTTTATTGCATGTTACTTTATTAACAGCTGCTTCTCTGCGCCCTTCCCCTGCTGCAATGCAGGGCTTGAAATGCTCCTTCTGACTTACCTGTGCAAAACCAATACAAGGGAACTGTCGGGCCCTGAATATTGTTATTTTAATAGTTTGGGGTTTGGGTTTACGAACAGGGTTGTGGTTTGATAGCTGTGGCCACAGTGACTGCTGTTCTCCTGCGTCCCTGTGCTGCACAGGCCTGGACAAGCCCCAGCCCAGGGGCCTTGTGCAGGCTCAGACACAGCTGTATTTCTTTTTATCCTGTTTATTTCAGCTTGTTTCCATGCCATCTCTGTCAAAAATCACAATCCCTAAAACCTTTCTCAGGTGAAACTACTTGACTTTTATTAGGCTGCCCTGGAAATGCCTTTTTATATTCATTTGGTGGTGTTTCATTGTTTGCTTGCAGTCTTTTGAAATGATGTTCAGTGCTCAGGTAATGCTGAGGATGGGAAGCAGAGAAACCCACTCAGGACAAGTTTCTTTATTTTTACACCTGGGTTTGGCCATGCAGCACTGAGGGCTTTTGGGACCCCTCTGGGGAGCAGAGCTGGCCCTACTTGTGCTAATTTAAAGGTTACACCCACAGAGAAGGAGATAAGATTTGGAGGAGTGCCCATCTGTGAGGTTTAATCTTGGCCTTTCCAATAATGAGGTGCTTAGGGGGACTAATAAAGCTTAATTTTTACAGTGTGTGAAGCCTGGATAACTACTGAGCATTTCCTTTCGTGCTGTATGTTATTTACTGTCTGGGGACGCGTATAGGCCTGGAGGCTTCCAGGTGAGGTTCCCAAAAGTTGTTCATGGGATGTGGAAACCTGCTGCAGGAAGAAAATGGGATAACAGGATCTGAAATGCCTTCTCCGTCTCTGTGACTGGTGTTGAGTCAGGGCTAGCAGGAACACAACTCATCACTTTGGGTACAGATCTGTTCCAGAGACTTCAATTTGCAGCCTGGGTGGAAAAAGAATCATGGAAAATTTTATAAGCTTTCCATAGATCTGTTTCTGTAGGTTACAGAATTTAGTAATAAAGAGATGATTCCCTTCCAGGAGTGTTCAGATTAATTTTCTTAACACTTTCCATGGAAAAAATTGCATTCAAATTGTAACACTTCCTGGATAGTTTTCTACAGTATTGCCCACAGGAGCTGTACGATACTTGTTATTAGCTAACCCAAGCTTCTAATGCTCAAATACATTAAAATACATTAATTAATTTAATTAATTAAATTTCACCTTATTTTTTGATTGAAGGGTCTGACACATATAATTGTAGAGCAAGTTTTGCATTACCCTGCAAAGCTCAAAAGGAGAAAGCAACCGAGAAGACTCCAGCTTTCAGCATTTTGAACCTTGTGATCCTGACTCATGGGTTTGAATGTTGCAGTGCTAGTAATTACACGTGGATAGGTGGATATATCTGAAATTAACCACATTAACATTGTGCCTGAGATGTGGAAAAAAAACATGTCCAGATGTGGAAATGAGCGTTTTCAGTATGCAGATTTTTATTTGGTAGCAAAAAGGCTGTGGAAGAAAACTGCAGCTCAGCAGCTTGTGGGAATTGTAAAAAGTAGGGAAATACAGGCTGGATTTGTGGCCCCTCAAGTAAATGAGTCCTTAACGATATAACTTTACTGACTTTAGGTGAAGCCTTCACATGAAGCGAAAGAATGTGAATTTTCCCCCGATCGGTTGGTCAGCAAAGCCGGGAGTTTTATTTTAGCTCTCGCGTGTCACGCATTGATTCATTGATTTCCCACAACCAGTTGACATCAAGATGAGCACCTCGTGTGCGTCTGCTTTGATTTGTCGTTAGCCGAGTGATTTATATCCTGTTAGGAAAAGCGCAGAACTCGGGCTTTAAAGCAAACTGGCCCACGTTAATAAAATTACCCAGGGGGGAGGCAAATTGCACCCAGCGTTTGCACTGGGAGTAACGCACGCAGCTGTGTACTCCGGCTGGGATATTATGGGACCCCGGCCTGTGGTGAAATGAATAAGCCATGGCGAAATGACTAAATTTATTCCTTTTTTTCTGGCGTTTTCTTGCAAGCATAACAAATTCTGGCTGGATTTTTCATGGGACAAAAGGCTTTCATGTCACCGAACGTCTCGGAGCTTTCTTAACCTCACAACCGTGGCTGAAAAAGGAAGGGGAATATGTATCGAACATCCGGTGTTTTGTCCTTGGTATCAGCTTAAATAAATCTGGCAGATTTTTCCTGTTATTTTGTTATAACTGCAGATCACAGGAATGAACAAAATTGCTTTTATGAATTAACTGAGAAAGCGTAAGGGGAAAATATGAAGCCATAGCAAAAAAACACATAAATCCTGATTTAGCTCCTGTGCTTCCCAGATGGGAAGGGCAATGGGAGGGCTTTGGCCTGGGAGGTTGCTGAGCATTGTGTGGTATTTTACAGGGCCACGGTTATGAACGGGTGCTAAAAAATTACCTTCTCTGGAGGTACAAAAACCATGGTATAAACACTGTGACATTTCTTTCTCCTGTTCTCCTTATTTTCTTAAATTTTCATTGACCTTAGTGCTGCCTTGAATCCATCAGCTCCTTCTCCTCTCAACTGAGCTCTCTCCTCCCCTGCCATCAACTGAGAGGTCTTCATATCCTCCCCAATTGACTCAGCAATAACATCTGTAACCAGCAACAAGTCTGGCAGTTCCTGCTTTGTTCTGTTCCTTCCTCCTTATTTATTTACTTTGCTGGCCCTAATTCCCTCTGAATTAAATCATCTTTCACTGCCTGCCACATTTGGTCTCAGCCTCTCATTCTTCCACCCAGTTTGGTGCAATCTTTTCCCCATCTGTTTTGTTTCCTGTGTGTTTTTCCCAGGGCTTTTCCCACATTATCCTGTTTTACCACGTTCTTTCTCCTGGCTCAGCACAGGATGCGTTTGCTTCGATTCGTGGTATCCAGGTATCACTGCACGACAGCGGTCGCATCTGTCCCGAGGAGCAGAGGGATAGGGGAGAGGTGGCCCATTTCTGCCCAGATCTTGACACCCATCTGGACGGTATTTTCCTATATTGGTTCCTTTGGTAGGAACTGTTGTATTTAAACATTATCGAGTTAAGCAAACACAGAATAATTACAGCATGTCCTCACAATTAATTGTACCCCTAGCAATATAACAGGGCTGGTTTGCTCTGCAAGCCGAGGCTCTGGGGGGTGTAGCGCTTTGGGCCATGTCACACACAGGCTTTTCAGGGTTCATAGGATTAAAGCTTTCTTAAAATTCCTCTCTGGGGATGGGAGTGAAGGATTGGTGGTTTTCTTGCTTGTGTCGTAGCCTCTGCTTTCCTGTGCATCCGCACGTTCGCCTGCGCTTCCCGCATGCCTTTACACGAACTTGGAGCTTGTCCTCTTTCATTTTTTATGTGGGTGTAAGGTGTACACAGCCCCGTGCACCAACATTTGTATCAAGGGTAAACAAAAGGCTGGATAACGCTGATGCTAGTGAGAGCCCCCACTTTTTTGGTAAGAGTTAACAAGCCCCGTGCATCAAAGGTTACAAATATCTCTCGATCCTGAGTAATTAGGATGGAGCCGGTGCTCTTGCACCATACTTCCTCCACTTGGCGTGTGGAGATTGAGCATATCCGAAGGAGAAGATTGATTTTGAAATTGTGTCGGTCTGCTGTGAGTTTGGCTGAAGAGCTGGCCCTGTGGTTTTGAGAGAGATCACACAAGTCAAGTAAACGTGGTGTTTCGGGCTTTTAACACGTGTGCAAGAGGAGCCCGATATGACCGCACAGCTGAACTAAGAAGTGTCTGATACTTCATGAAATTTGCAGTAAACTCAGTGGTGCTGTAGACTTACCACATACAAATGTTCTTTTTAAAGGATGCAGCGCTATAATGATGTGGATTATTTAGAAACTGTGCAGAACCATAAAACCAGATCGATACCTGCTTAATGACGTGACTGAGTAGAATTAAGGCTGTTGAATGGTGAAGTGATGCTTCCTGTTTGAGAAATCAAAAGTGCATTTCAAAGTGAGTGCATTTCAGAGTGAACTCTAGGTTACCTACAGAAAGAGCAAGCGTTGCTGACTGAGCTCCAGAGCGGGGACATCCGGAGGCCATTTCTCACTTTTCAGGGGGAGTTCATTCCCGCACAGAGTCCGCTCCGTGTGTTGCGCCTGCCTGCGAACACACACCCCCCCGAAAGTTGGACTCATGCATCTTAGTAAGTATTTCAGTTATGCTATTGACGTCAATGCAGTCATTAAATAGATTGCCGGCCCTCCCATCAGTAAACCTGTGCCAAAGACCTAGAGGCAGGCACATTTTAAAAGAAGAACATCAGGTTTTCTTTTAGCGTTTGGAGAGAATAAGGGAAAAGTTTCTTCTGAAGTCACTGTGCTTTGCAATAAGGGTTTGGTTTTTTTTAATTCATTTTCTAAGACTCATTTGCCACAAAGATAATTGCTGCATTTTCTTTAACACACTTTTGTTACGTTATTGTGCGCATAAACAACTCCAAATGAGACTAAAGAGCAGTTTTTTGCCGTCAGCTCCAGCTGAAAAACGACACTCATTTTTGGTCTCCTGGCTAGATTTATTCGTGTATCAAGTAGCCGAAGGTATTCAGGCAAACCTGCTTAGCCTTTGACTCCCGAAATTCTGCAAGGATTGATTTCATGACATCTAGATAAGAAAATAGCCCTGGTTTCTCCTCAGCAGGCTCTGAAGACACACAAGCTAACCATGACTCCATAGCAACAGCTGAAAACTGTTTTTCCCCCTCCGGCCCACCTGTGGGTGTCACATGAAGATGCTACACGTGCTGCTGCCATCAGGAGCCTGTCACTCCCCGGGGCCCAGCTGCCCTCTGCGATGCCACCGGGTCCTGCCGTGCTGCTGAGGCTCTCCCGGGCCGGCCAGGAGCC